GGGTTGATCTGTACACAAATGTGAAGTGTAGTTTCTTTTCCTAGTCGTGTTCCTAACTCGAAAAATGTTCACAGGTGAACAGAAAGATTTGTTCATGCACGTACGCAATCTTTTCCATTTCTGCTCTAATTCAGTTCACAATCTCTTTTCCCTGCACTGCCTGTTGTTCCATCTTCCTCGGACTCTTCCTGAAGGTGGGTTTCACTGAGTTGAAATGGAAAAAAACCCAGTATATTTCTTCAGCTCTCAGTTGCTGCTGCTGCTGTTAGGATGGTGTGGAGACATTTCTTCCCTTGCCTATTCCTTCAAGCCCTTCTAGACTTGACAGCTATTTTAAATATTTTAGTGGCTCACCCATATTTCTGGATTGCATGTAAGGACTACATCTCTTTTGTTTCTTTTGGAAGCACACTCTGCATCTACCTTTTACTTTCATCCTTAATGTCGCCCCCCATAAGAAGCAAGACAAAAGCAGGAGCGGGAAAGCACTGGAAGGGTAAAATAGAAGATGAACTGGTGTTTCCCTATGAACCCCTCTGTTTAAAGCAGGACAATTGCAAGACAAAAGCTTCAGGGGAAGTTAACTTTTTGATTTTTAAGTGCTGCTTTCCTTCCATTGTCCTTCAATCATATTATCTTTGCTTTTAGGTGGAACCGGACTCTACCTGTGCCGTCTTTGGCTTGGGCGGAGTCGGGCTAGCAGTCATCATGGGCTGTAAAGTAGCGGGGGCATCTCGGATTATTGGGATTGACCTCAACAAAGACAAATTTGCTAATGCAAAGGAGTTTGGGGCCACAGAATGCATCAGCCCTGCGGACTTCCAGAAACCTATTCAGGAGGTTCTCGTTGAAATGACAGACGGGGGAGTAGACTACTCATTTGAGTGCATTGGTAATGTTGGTGTCATGGTAAGTGATTTTTGTGCCTTGGCGCAGTGTAGACTGATTGTGTTATTGTGAAATAGCAACAGTTGAGAACTTTCACCAGTTCTTGGAGAGTGGTTTCTTTGGTTCTTTCATTTTGGAGGAAAGATCCCATTAAACTAGAGGTCCCCAACCCCCGGTCCGCAGCCCCCGGTGCGGGCCCATGGCCTGAGCCAGACCGAGCCATGGAGAGAGACCTCCCACCCCACCCCTGCACGCACTCCCCCCCACAGCCCGTTTACGCGTGAGCGCGCCTGCATGAGCACTGCACCGCCCTTTTGCGCATGTACACGAGCGAGCTCGCACCTTCACGCATGTGCAGGAGCGCATGGGGTGCCTTGCCTACACCACGGGGCTAAAAAGGTTGGGGAACCGCTGCATTTTCAACCACTGGTTCACCTTAAAAAATTTCATGGCGCAGTGGTTAAGCTGTAGCATTGCGCCCCAAATTCTGCTGACAGTCAGCATTCGATACCAATGATCGGTCAGCCAGCTTGAGGTTGACTCAGCCTTCCATCCTTCCAAGGTCAGTAAATTGAGTACCCAGCTCATCGGGGGCGCAATATGTAGTTTAAATAATTAATGTAAAAATTGTAAATTGTCCATAGAGTGCTTTCAGCACTATGGGGCGGTAAAACCACAGAATTCAAATAGGGTGTACTTTCTTTTTCACATGACCGTTTGTCATGGATGGTAATAAAACATGGGAACCTAAAAACAAGGCCCAGGTTGCGCATGAAAAGAGGAGTGGGTTGCTACCTGAAATGAAACTGTATGAGGCTGCTCCACAAGATGAACCATTTGTGGGAATATTGGAACAAAAACAATACAAAAAACAACTACATTGTGGCATGTTGAAGACGAACTACTATATTTTAATGTGAGCTTTCCTGAATCAAGTCCACAAGAGTGATACTATATAACTATTATATTTATACATGGCCTCATGACCAGGTTAGGGACACAGATAATGAACACAGTTACAGCGTGTTTTGTTTTTCTCTCTGATAAACCTGCACAGACTAACATGGCTACTCCTTCAAAAAAGTTCATGGGAAGTTATCTCGCCTTGTATGCTTTTACTGTGGTTTTCACATGACTATTACAATGCAAAGGGGAGTGGTAGCATGAGGAGTCAGGGATAATTATAATCTTATATTACTATAAGAATTACAATTAATAATTGGTAGCATGAATTACCAGATTTGCCTTGCTTTCTTCAGTCAGATCAAGATCTGTCTTCAGCTGCCATGGTCCTTGAGCATTCTGTCTGAGGGATTCTTGGGAGTTCTAGTCTCTAAAGCACTGATTCCCAATCTTGGGTACCCAGATGTTCCTGGGCTACAGCTCCCAGAAATCCAGGACAGTACAGGATTTGATGGTGAAGACTTCTGGGAGTTTTAGTCCAAGAACATCTGGGGACACAGATTTGGGAACCACTGCTCTAAAGGGAATGTTCCAAGCTCTGCTCTGCATTTGAACACTCCACATAGCTGTTCTGGCTAAAATCCACAGCCAGTGATGAATTTGTGTTTAGAAGACTTGGCATAGTCTGTTTAGTATGAGAATCACACTTCCTAAAACTGTTCCAAAGCCATCTACTGAGCTAAGGTGCTTTTGAATACCCTTTAGTGGGTCCACCTAGTTTAATATTGTTCGACTGGATTGATAGCAGCACTTTCCATTGCTTACTAACTCACTATGCCAGAGATGAGTTTAGGGATTTCTGCATGTAAAACGTGTGCTCTGCCATTAAGCTATGACCCTCCTATTTTTCCATCCATGTCCCTTGTGCCTCCTAACCCTACCCTCTTCTATATCCTACAGAGAGCAGCCTTAGAAGCTTGCCACAAAGGTTGGGGAGTGAGTGTGATAGTTGGAGTTGCTGCTGCCGGTCAGGAGATTGCCACCCGTCCGTTCCAGCTAGTTACTGGCCGGACATGGAAAGGGACTGCCTTTGGAGGTACAATCTTGTTGAGTTGCTGACATAATTGTCTTCTGTGGGAACAGTCATGCAGCATCATCTGTGTGCCTTGCGTTTTGGTATGACAGTGGTTCAAGAAAGCTATGACACAATAAAAGATAAGTAATAGAGATGGGCACGAATTGCCATATTGGCGATTAGTGTCAGTTTCTTTTTCAGCCAAACAGGTATATGGTGCTTCCCAGCCCCACATCCTCAGGTGGTCACCCACCCAGAGACAGTGCCCTGGCTTCCCTGCCCCACCTTCTCCGGCTGCTGTCTCGAGTGGGTGCCAAACAGAGCAGTCAGGGCTGGGAAACGCCAAACAGCTGTTTGGCCAATAAACTGGCATAAACTTGCCCATCTGTAATAACTAACATGACCTTTCCTGTATCAGGTAATCAGAATGATCAACATAAGGAGTCAAATTTACAAGACCTAATAATCTGGGTCCATCTCTATCCCTGCCAGAATATAAGCAATACATAGGGTCACTAAGAGTTACATTGAAGAAAGAAGGTTATCCTCTTTGCTGCACTTAAGCTTTAAGTTGAAGGAAAGAAGGCAGTTGTCTGCAAGAAGGCCATAGTGTATAAGGAAACATAGGCTCTAGACACCTTACAAGCAAAATAGCCATGCCTCTGTTTTTTTCACCAGATTTGAGTAATGCAATTATATTATCTATTTGCAAGTTCAGCCAGAGTTGGGAAACCAGTGACAACCCACATCCCCACCATCTGTAGATGGAGTATTGGGCCCAGGCAGCCTGGTCAGGGATGGGAACTGGAATCCTAACATCTGAAAGGTCACAAGTTCTTCACCCCAGGCTTGGAGGGAGAAAAGTCAGCCTATCACAATCCTTCAGGAAAAGAAGGGACAGCTTGCTTGTTTGCTTTCTCCCATTTTTTATGGCTTGCAGTGGTGGATAATTTCTTTCCTGGAAAGAAATTATAGAGATGGTGAAATATAGAGATGGTGGTCTATGCAACTGTAATATTACTTTTAAAATTTTATTCCATTACTGCTGCAATTTTTAATATTGTTTGTTTTGATGTGGTACCATACTAAACGGGTTAAACATTTTACTTCCTGTTAGGCTGGAAGAGCGTAGAAAGTGTACCAAAGCTGGTAGATGAATACATGTCGAAGAAAATTAAAGTGGATGAGTTTGTGACTCACACCCTACCTTTTGAGCAAATTAACAAGGCCTTTGAACTCATGCATGCTGGAAAAAGGTGGGTGCTTCTGCAGCTTGTCCAAACTTTTGGTTAGTGCAATTCTGTGTCTGTCCAGAAGGAAGCTTTATTGTGTTCAAACAGGCTCACGTCCAATTAACTTTAAGTTAAGGAAAGTACCTCAAAATTTCAGATGCAGGGGGTTGGTATCAGGAGACAGGTATCTAGTTGTCCTGTGTGCTCCCAGAGGCATCTGATGGGGCCACTGTGGAATACAGGAAGTTGGACTAGATGGGCTCTTGGCCTGATCCAGCAGAGCTCCTTCTTATGTTCTTAAGTAGGAGGTTGCAGCTGGACAAAGGCTTCCTTGTGGTGGGTGCGCTATGGCTATCCCTTGCCATTCTAGCCTTTTATATTGTTCCCACCTCCAGTTTCAATGAACAGGGAAAAGAACATATCAGCTCACACACCAGAATATTTCACTTAAATAAGATTTTAAAAGCATGTATAGTACATATTTATGATTTGCATTTTTTTTCTCCATTTTTAGCATTCGAAGCGTGCTGAAGTTTTAAGAAACAGAAGAAGGAACTCTTAGAAGTGTACACCTGTGGAAAATCACAGGTTGCTTAATGTGCCTTTTTTGTAGGAGATCTAACTGAGAAAAGTCTGTCATTCAGGATTATGTTAAGGCAGAGCCCCTGCTTTGGTAGTGTCATCGTTTTTAAAAAAACAAAAACTGATCACTACACTGCAGTCAGAGATAGCAGCTGCTAATTCTTTAAAAAAAACACAAACCTTAGTACCTCTCCATTTCTCACTCTAATCTGCCACTAAAATGCGAAGAATCAAACAGTAGACTGGATTAAATTAAAATCAATGGCTGTTTTTTCTTCTAAAATACCTTATGAGAAAAACAACTGCTTTATAAGGCATATCAGGATTAAAGCCTCTTTCATATGCAGGTGTTGTGTGTTTTTTTCCTCCTTCCAGCAGTGAATCCAATCCATGGCCTGTTTGTCTAGAGACAGTTCCTATAGCTACAGATTGCATTAGCCTTGGGTAGCATAGACATTGCTGAGAATTTAAAACAGCTATAGTCTGAGAATGACTCAGAGATCAGTTTTCTACCTGTCCTGCATTATAGTCCAGTAGCTTAGTCTTTCACCTTCAGTCCGTTGACATATCCTTGGCAAATGAGCTAGTATGAGTCAAATTAAATAGTATAGCTACGTACATATTTAACTATGTTATTTTTTTTAAAAAGTGCTCTGAATAGCCTGATACAAGTTGAATAAGATTCCATTTTGCGTGTATGGCATTCCCAGTCCAAATCAGAAGGAAAACACCGAAATGGGCCAACAGTACTGAGAGGAATAGGAACAGACCATGGTAACATTTGATAATGTCCTCCTGAAGACTTCCCCTTGGATCTTCTGGTTGAAAATCTTCTCATTACCAGTTCATTACTCGTTTCTAAAGTGATCATCATTCATAGGAGAGGCTGTACAGACTTGTCATATCTTAACTACCTATACAGTCATGCCCCACTTTAGGATTACTCCGCATTACGACAAATCCGCTTCACGATGACATTTTTGTGATCACTTTTGCGATCGCAAAACAATGGTCTAAATAGGATTTTTCCGCTTTGCGATGATCGGTTCCCTGCTTCAGGAACCGATTCTTCGCAAAACGATGTTTTTTTAACAGCTGATCGGCGGCTTCAAAATGGCCACTGGGTAATTAAAATGGCTCCCAGCTGTGTTTAGGGACGGATTCCTCGCTATACAGGCACCAAAAATGTCCGCCGTATGGAGGATCTTCGCTGGACTGTGAGTTTTTAGCCCACTGGAACACATTTAACGGTTTTCAATGTGTTTCAATGGGCTTTTTATTTTCACTTTACAACATTTTTGCTTAACAGCGATTTTCCTGGAATGGATTATCGCCGTTAAGCGAGGCACCACTGTACTACTGAAATCTTAGTAAATTACTACAGGTCAGGAGCTTTTCATTAAAAGAAAGTGCTATATTATCATTGCCCACTTAGTATTTTACTGGTTGAAGTTGTTCAACTAGGACAGTGAACTTCTACCAAGGTGAGCAAAATGTGATCCTTGGCCCTCTGGACCACCCTGGTTGCCTGCCCAAAATGTTTTCTCCCCAGTAAAATAGAGTATTGTCTGTCACTGGAAGTCCCAAGGAGTTGTGACTGAATTTTACAGTAATTCCTCCCTCCCAACACACAGTTCAACTACCATTATTCCAAAGCACAAAGACGACTCCTGGTTTTGTTCTTTTCAAAACTGTTTTCCAGACCTGTCATAGTCGTTCACCCCTGATGGAAAGATAAGCACATCTAGTTATATCATGGCCAAATGGCTTCTATAAAAGCAGACAGAACGTGCAGCTCACTGGATGATTTGTAATAAAAGGGCAAAAGTATCCAATAGTTTCAATAGCAAGATAATTTAAAAAAAAAAGTCTGCTACCAGTGTGTTTGTGCTAACTGATCACTGTTCCTCCCAAGTAACATATGAAGAGGTTGCCGTAAACAGTGTCTTTTATGTAGCTTTACTGGCCTCTTTGAGGGTTCTGTCACAACCCATGCTCTAGGGATGGCTGTGAGCTGCAAACAGAATTATAGATTCTATTACTATTATACCAGCACCACCATTTTTGCATTTCATTGCAAATTCTTAGTCTCAAGGTTCCAGTTTTTTAAAAATTGTACATCCCAAAGATCCCAAATGTCCTTGCTGTAAATATCTCTACCATTTCAGTGTAAAAGTTGAAGTTGCATCTTTCTATTGCTAAAGGATTTAAACAAAGAGAAATCGAGTCATACTGGTTCAGAGTCATTGTCAAAGAGGATATACAAAGTTAGCCATTCAGACTTTTAATCTCCTTAATACATTGCATACATCATTTAACTGCACTCAAGATATCCCAGGTTGTTTTGTTACACATCTCTGCCCACATACACAGCTCCTTGTAACAGTCTGGATTACTGTACTGCCTCTAACATGTTACAGAATGAAAATGTTATCCCAGCACCTGTTCTGCTGGGGGGGGAAAAGACATTCAGAGGCACTCTGGGAGAGAGAGATTTTCTTCAAAATTTATTTTGTTCAGTGACAATTGCCTTAAATCACCCAAACTAGTGAAACTATTATGCTGTTGAAGCTGACGAGAGCAGAGGACTTTAGATCCTTCTTAGGTACCTGATGAAACAGATACCAGAGAGGGAACAGAAGTATGCATATCATACCCATGATTTTATGACTTGTCTTCAACAGTATACCAATTGTCTCCTCCAACATAAAGCAGGCACTCTTTGAAAATGTGAAAAGATCAATTTCACTATGGAATGCAGGTCAAAAGGTAACAGCAGTAAGCCAGTTGCCCCCTGGCATCAATCCTATAGTATAAAATATTAACTCTCTGCACACATCCATGTGTATAGAATTGCACCACTTTACCCATGCTGTATCAAGTCTTTGAAGAAGGAGTACCACTTTGGTGGGATGTCCAGTCCTTGCTTATTTCAAGTAGATACCTTTGTCCCAAAAAAAATTCTGCTTGTGATGAAACACCACAGTGGCAAAGCTTGGGTAATAGATCTCCTTTCGGTGCGAGGGGGTGGCTTTTCAGGATAACAGCTTTGCAAGACTTGCAGCATTGGGGTTGTTGTTTCTTTCTCCTTCCAATTTTATGCCTACTAATGAAAGCTCTCTCCAATCCATTGTGAACTTTTTTGTTGTCATGGACAGAAGTTATCCATAGTGAGATGGCAACGTGAACACAGCCATAGATTCTGCTTTTAACAAGAGCATGCCCTGAACTGTGAAATTCAGCAGAAACTTGTTTGACTTTGGTGACACACACAAAATCTCCACAGATTGAAAAGAAGCTGAGAAATTGACTGTGAGAGCAGCTTTGTGTCTTTGGGCGTTGCCTTTCCTTAGAACACACATTCAGGAGAAGTAGAATATAGTAATTTCAATTTTGTTTCCTACTTCCATTTTCAGTTTCTTGAACCTTATGAATATCATTGGCTGCCAAGCGCTACCCGTTTTGAGGCTGCATTTCAGTAAAAACTAGAACCAAGTAGAACCTCGGTAGTTTTGTCTCTCCTCTCCCCTTCCCACTCCACCATGAGCGGAGCACCAGCAGGAGCAATTGTCAGCTGAAGAGAAACAGGCCTATCTGTTAGCAGGTGGTTATTTTACTTCCATATGCAGTCGCAATAGAGACAACTGAAATGGAAGAGGGAAGCACTGAATAAAATTCTGAAAGCAGACACAGTACTAGGTAACACTCTCTAGTACACATTTCCACCTCTGAATTATAAACAGAGAAAAACCCACCAGATTAAAACTGTGTTTTCTCCACAGTAGGTAAGTTGTGTTGCCTTTGGAACAAGAAAAAATTTAAAATCTCAGGTGGCACTTATATAAAAGCAGAAAGGCTCATTTTCCAATATCTTGCATCCACCATGGAAAAATGCTTGCCAGCTGATAACTGTGGCAGTGTAGAGTCACCTGAAGCCCAGCTTGGCAAGAGGGGAAGGGATAAAGGGATGCCTCAAGGACAAAGGATTTATTTTAAAGTTCCAATCATGTTGGAAAGCTCAGAAAATGCTCTAAAGCCTCTCTGCTTTCAACTCTGTATCAGGCTCTTCCAAGTTGTATAATGCAAGACCGAATCTCTTACCTAGTCAACAAGAAAATAGGTGATAAAATCCCCCCTTAGCCTGTACTTTAGGAAAATGCATAGTACAGAGTCAAGAGATGCTTGGTTCAGGCCTCTCAAGCTTGGCCTACACTAGCACTGGGTCATGAAGTGGGGGCGAATGCTATCCAACCGTCGGGTTAAGATATCACACCCAGTATCTGTGACCAGAAGTGTATGTTCAAACTGAGCAGATCGCTTGCCATCTCGTGTCACTGCTGTCCAGCCATCAGGCCATGTTTCATCTTGCCACCCACCTACAAAAAACAAAGCAAAAAAATGAAACAGATCATCTTAATTATTTTACAAAGAAAAAGGGAAATTCACTTTATTCTTAGAAGTATTCATGCTATCACTATCAGTAAAGCTTCCAGCCTACACATATACTTCAGATGCGAAGCCTCCCCACCCCCTTGCCTCTTCTGCCCATTTCTATTTCTGTATTTTCTACAGGCTTATTCTTAACCAAAGGCAGCTCTCTATGTCAGGTTGGCTGAGCCGAAGTATTCACAGATGATCAAACTAAGAAAAGGGAGTCAAAGAGCAAATTGCTAACTATCACAATTATATCTCTTTAAGTTAGATTTCATGGAGCTTCTCTAATATAAGTATGATTGATGCCACCTTTAGAATACAGTAAGTTGCAGCATATGAACAATTAAATATAAGTCCAATATACAGCATTTGAACAATCTTTTGACTTTATGTAGCCTTGTAAGAAATAAGAATCTGGTATTCCTGATTTTCTGAATATGCATCAGGCATAGGATATTAGGCTGTGAAATACCTTGATTCATAGTCCAGAAAGAATCAAGAAAAGGCTGTGTGGTTCAGGATTACACAAATGCAAGAGTTAGGTGATACCTTTATTGAACCACTTAAAAAATCACACATTCACACAGGAAAGCTTGCAATTTGTATGATCTTTCTGTGGTTCAATAAAGGTATCACTTAAATCTTGCATACCGTATGCTACAACACAGCCAGATGAATCAAACAAAACACCAGAACATTAATTTGTAAGGTTTGCGGATCCTTTCTGCCCAAGTGAACAAGATACAATGCCAACAAGATACAGTGGGGTCTTGACTTGAGAACTTAATCCGTATTGGAAGGCGGTTCTCAAGTCAAAAAGTTCTCAAGTCAAATCTGCATTTCCCACAGGAATGCATTGAAAACCATTTGATCCGTATCTGCTCTTTTCCATCCATAGAAACTAATGGGAAGCTGCTATTCCGCCTTCGACCACTAGAGGGGGATATTTCGTTTCTTTTTTTCTTAGGTCAAGAAAGGTTCAGGGAAGGCAGGGAAAATACAGTCCAGGCAGTCCAGTCCCAGGCAGTCCGAAGACTGTCTCCCAATCCACTCTGTAAACGCTGGGAGGAGGGAGGAAGCAGACAGGCACCCTTTTCACTGGCCCACAGTTAACTGAAAGTTCACATTTTGCACTTTCCCTGCCTCCCACGTGGGTTTGTTTCAGTTCTTAACTCAAATCTAAGTACTTAAGTCAATATTTTCCTATGAGAGCGGTTCTTAAGTCAAAACATTCTTAACTCAAGCCGTTCTTAAGTCAAGACCCCACTGTAATCTCAAAGGTTACATTATTTAACTCAACCAAGTATATGCAATCCACAGATAATTAAGAAAAATATCAAATTATGTTTCCTAAGTAGAGTCCAGTCAAACTAACTTTGAGGAGTGGCTGCAGACAAAATAAGAATTTTTTTCAGTAAACAGTTTTCTATTTACCTTCACAGATCATAGGTTCTATTGTAAATGCATGGCCAGGCTTCATTACCCCAACAGCCTTGTTTTCTGAAAAGAAAGTAGGACAGAAAAGTGTTCAAGAAAGTGGATGAGTTACAGGGAGTACAGGAGAAGCCATAAATAAAGATGAAAGGGAATGTGACAGAAACTTAATGGTGATTATACTCTTTCTTAAAAATACCACCTGCAAAAACACTCATTATGTACTTGATAGATTTGAGACTGAGATCAGACTGTTCATTTCATCTCGTTTATTAAATTTATGAACCACCTTTCTGTTCTTCTAAGAACACTTATGTAAGGTAACAGTAATAAAATTCAAATAAAAATAAATAGCACTTGAACATAAATGCATATTAAAACATCAATAGAAAAAAAAGAAAAAGACTCAACCAGTTAAAACCCCTACACCTGCACCCCAACCTAAATGACAAAGGCCTGTCTGAACAAAAAGGTTGTTGCCTGCCAGTGGAGAACCTAGAGACAATGAGCTAGCCCGACTTCTTCCAGCAGGAAGAAAGCCTGGGATTTACGACCAGGAAAGCCCTTTCTCAGACTCCCCCCCGCCCCCAAATGTGGAAACCAGACCCTTGGGAGGTATTTTCCAAAGATCTTAAAACTCTGCAGAGCGATATTTGAGCGACTGGCCTTTCAAATACCTTGGTCCTAAGTCTTATGGGACAAACTGTGCATTCATTTGTGCCTGACCACAAAACAAATAGCCAGTGGAGTTGTTGCAACAAGAAAGACATGAACTCTCTGTAACGAGGCCCATCTGGAAGCAAAGATTCTGGAGAACTGAAATTTCCATTCAAAGTAAACCTATACAGAGCATGTTACAGTAGCCTGAAAGAGATCTAAGTGAGATACACATCACACTGCCTGAACTGGCAAATCTACCAACAAGTGTCACTCGCATATTAACTTTAGCTATGGAAATGCATTCTTGGCCATCAACAAAGCATGGACTGAATCCACAAGTCTATTCAACTGCAAAGAAATCTTCAAGATAACTACAACCCAATCCCACACAGCCTGAACTCATATTCCCTGATTGGTCCTTCAACTAACTGGGAATATCAGAAGCAGAACTTGGATTTAGATAACAAAAAAGGTAGACTAGGATGTCATCAGGATACAAGTGATACTGACCACATACATGCACCCCACCAGAAATTCACTTTGTCATTCCATATATAAGTTAAAAAGCACAGACAACAAGATGGAACCTTAAGGCTTCCCAACTCAAAGCCACAATGTCAAACAAGAGTCCCTTGGCACTACCTTTAAAACTCATCACAATAGAAATCAGATACAGCTTTTAAAAAAACACCCTATAAAAACCTATTTCATACAGAAACCTTAGCAGAACACCATGACTGAGTGCTTTAAAATTCACATTTTTAAAGCTGATTACTGTGAGCCCATCTGTCACTTAAAAGGCAAGAGAAGGACAGAACCTTTTGTCTTTGCACCACTTCACACAACAGCTCTCGCAATGAAAAACATTCAGCATGTTTCTTCCTTATGTTTATAACTGACTGACTGTGGGAATGCATATCAGTTGTGGAGAACTCATGAAACTTTATTAACTACTTCGAAAAATAGCAGACACCCTCCATACTTACTGGCATAATGTGGCACATTGGGAGCTGTGTGGAAAAGTTTATGAATCCCATGCCCGCAATAGCTCCGGACTACAGAAAATCCATTGGCTTGAGCATGCTTCTGTATAATATTCCCCAGCTCTCTATATCGAACACCAGGCTTTACTGCAAGGTAAAATATAAATCATTTTACTAAAAGGCACACATTATGTAATGAAAACAAAGATTACTGAATGCATTTGAATTCAGCACAATACAGTGGACCCTTGACTTACGAAGGTCCCTACTTACGAAAATTTCAAGGTACGAAAAGCAGCTGGAACGGATTAAATTGTTTTCAATGCATTCCTATGGGAAATGGACCCTCGACCTAGGGACTTTTTCACCTGCGGCCACCGTTCCAATACGGATTAATTCTGTAAGTCGAGGGTCCACTGTAGCTCCTTGATGCATTTGTGTATGCACACACAGAGACAGACACAAAGTCCCTTAAAGGACAGTATGTAGAGACTTGACAGCACACTATTGTTGTTGTTGTTGTTGTTGTTGTTGTTGTTGTTGTTGTTGTTGTTGTTGTTGTTGTTGTTGTTGTTGTTGTTGTTGTTGTTGTTGTTGTTGTTGTTGTTGTTGTTAAAGGAGCTTAGAACTAATGATCAAAAAGGAATTTTAAGAGAGGGAAGACTATGAATTAATATTCCAAAAAAAAAAAGTATTCAGATATATGGGACATTAAACTAGGCCAGTGACAGTGAACCTTTTTGGGCTCGCATGCCCAAACTGAAAAAGCAAAACAACAAAACCAGCAGGCAGTGTGCCACATCAGCATGGCGGCGGAACCAGAAGTGGCAGTGGCAGAACCAAAAATGGTGGCGGAAGGGGGAATCCCGGGCACAGAGGTGCCTCGAGACCCCACTCCAGATCCACTGCCAGTGCCAGCTGCTCCAGATCCGCCTGTCAAAGCACCAGCATTGTGGCTGCAGCCGCCTCCTGAGGTTTGGCTGTGCGAGGGGGGGAGCAGAGATCTGGTGACTTATGGCTTGCATGCCCGCAGAAAGAGCTCTGCATGCCAGCTGTGGCACGCATGCCATAGGTTCACCATCGCTGCACTAGGCAGTATCCAATATTACATGTCTGCTAGAGGAAGAGTGGAACCTAGAGGAACTGTGAGGAAAATATCTCCTTCCCACTGCACATCTGCTCCAGATGCCAGAGAAACCCTCTGCAGTATTTGGGTGACTTTACATCATGTAGTTGCCAGGTTTTATATTTGAATTCATATGTGCCTAAACCAATGCAAGCTGTGAGATAAATGGCTGAGATAGCCATTTATCTCACAGCTTGACTGGGATAGAAAGACACAACAGAAATAATTCCCAAAATATGTAGCACCCAGTCACTTACATATAATAGGCACTACAAGAAACAACAAAGAAACATGGAAGCGTTATGCCCAGGAAAGCTTTACCTGCATCAATTGCTTGCATTAGGCACTCATATGTTGTCTGGACTAATCTCTTTGCACCTTCATCAACTTCTCCAACATAAAATGTTTCATTGAGATCCCCGTGATAACCATTACGATAAACAGTAATGTCCACTGTAAAGAACAAGAGAGAACAATGTATTTCCTGATTCTGTGTTTGCAATCACAATATAAACATTATAAAACAAACACTGTATATAAAGGTTGAAGTACTGTATAATAAGGTCAGTAATTACAGAAAGGAAAAGATATATTAAGTTATTATCCAAAAAACACTTATTTGACTTGCATCATTCTAAGGTATATTGTAATTAAAATGCAATAAAGTTCATACGTGAAAAGGAAAAGTGCCCTTTAACATATGAATACAAATGTCTTCATCAATTAAACCTGACTTTTCCAGAGCAGCTCCTCAGTTCTGGCATATATGAACCGTAAAGAGTTAATATGGAGGGGATCCTATCATGAGCGAGACCGCTTAAACTGTGCAAGTCTTTAGAACCCTTCCAGCACGGCAAGTCTATGATTCAGTTTTCTCCTGAAAATAATATACCAGCATGGCACTTGGCAAGCAAAGCTAACAGGTAAAATCATGAATTAGATCTTTTCACTCCTCTCCATACAGACGTATCAATATGCACCACTGTAAAGGTAGGAATATCCACAGGCCTTCAGGACTGTGCATGATAGACATTGCTGAATGTATATGTATGGATGTGTATACTCTCTCATACACTCACACAGGCATGCACACACCATCTCTCAACCCATGTTTAAGCCATGCTGCCAGCCTTAGTCTGGATGCATAAGAATACTGGTCACAGTAACATTTCTGAGCCCAGTTCAGAGCCAATATAGCACTTCTGCTTGTGGTTCTGTTATAGCGATAGAATGCCCGCCTTAGTTCACCTAGCCCAATGTTTTACAACCAGGGGGTTGTGAGCCCCAAGGGGGTTACAAGGATTACTTGGCTATTATACAAGGGCGTCATGAAAAAAGTTGGGAATCACTGACCTAGCCCATCAACTGCAGGCAGGACATATCTCAGCATTAGGCTGAAAACTTGGGTTTGGATTACGTGATCCATAGCCATCCCACTGACTTCTTCCTCATCAGTCCCAATTTTTCTTTCTTTTTTCTTTCTTTTGGCCAAAAGGTTTGGGGTGGGAGTGGGAGAAATGTGGCACTAAAGGCCTCCAGGGGGCAAGATTCTCCTATAAAGCAAAATTTTCTTGCTTCAATACCACCACTGCTGAGGTTTTTATTTTTTTAAACGATATTCTGGCAAATTTCTGATTTTCATAACTAATAACTATGTGGCCCTCCACAGCTTTGTACATAGAAAATGGCTTCCAGACCTTCTGAAGTTGCCCATTCCTGCTGTATAACCATTCTCATGGTTATGTGCACATGCACAATTACTGGGGGGAGATTAACTTGTTCTAATGAACAAATCAACAAAACACAGCTTTATTTTTTTTTCATTTCTTCCAAGTGCAAGATATCATTGATGTAGAACTCAAAAAATTATAGGATAATCCCTGAGAGAGAGTTAATTGGCACTTTCAATTCCTGTAGCAGAACAGTTGACAATGTCTAAAACAATTACTGCAAAGTGCTCTTGAATCTTCCCTCAGTTTCAAGAGCTGTTTTCTGTGCAAAATAAGGGACTGCTATTCAAAAAATCCAAAACAAAATAGCAAGTGGAACTAAGCTGTGACATCTTTTTGATCCCAGCAGTCAACCATTCTCATAACCCTTTAGGCATGACAGGGATGCGAGTTGCTTTGAAGGCTTATGATTAAAAGTACTGCTCTATCCAATGGCTCTTCAGATAGTGTGTTGCTTACAAGGTCCTAAGGAGCCAAGTATTTCCACAACTTGTTAGGAGCTCATTAGCAATTAAAACATAAGAAGAGCCCTGCCGGGCCATACCAAAAGCTTACTGTGTCATGTTTCCCACAGTGGACGAACACATGCCTAAAGACTTCTGAAGAAATACAGCAGTATCAATAGGGCAAACCCATAATCTGCTGTGTCAAACAGACCACATCAAACAAACTGAAAGAAGAGAAACTCAACCAGAAGTAACTGCTAGAATGTTTGTATCACAGCTTTCAGTCTTTTTACAATTTTAAAAGTCTAAAATTATGAAAGAAAAAAACTCAAAGTACAGTTGCAATTTATACACAACTAATAAACAACATATTTACAGATGGGCCAACACATATTTACAGATGGGTCTACAGACAGAACATATATACAGTACAAGGGAAAATAAATCAGTATAAAGCATTTTGATTTAGAAGGTCTTTCCAATGGTGATATCTATGAATGTTACTATGAATTTTGAAAGCTATTAAAATAGTTGTTTCATGCTTCCTACCATTGACGATATCACCCTCTTGTAAGCGTCGCCTGTCTGGAATTCCATGACAGATAACTTCATTTACTGAGGTACAGCAAGATTTAGGAAAATTATAGTAATTCAGTGGGGATGGATAGCAGTTTCTGGCAATACAAGCCTGAAAAAGAAATTGAAAATCTATTATTACTAATATAAATAGAAGATTGGTGTAAAAAATTGCAGCAATTCTCAGTATAATTACCAGGAAGTATGTTCCTCCTAAACCAAGACAATGGATTTAGAACCAGACTAGCTTTTTTCCTCTTGGACTGAATGTTTTACTGGTACACTGAGCTTCCAACTCACATAAAATTCTTGCATTAAGAATTCTTATGGTATGGAACATTACATTATATAACCCTGGACTGTGGAAACAGTTCTGGCCATTAGCATGAGATGCTTCCAAAAAAATACATCCACTCAATGATTTTTGAACTCTTTCACTGGTTCTCATAGGCTAATGCAATGAAGTAACTAAGAGACTAAGCTATGGACCAGAAAGTTCCTAATTCAAGTATTCCTCGTGGCATAAACACCCAGCACATTCAGGCAAGACTCTGCATTCACATCTGTAGTAATGGTGACTTATTAGAGTTTAATGGTACAGCACTTATTTTGTATAATTCCTGGCACTTTCAATTAAAAGGATCAAACACTTTTCAAACAGATAGCCATGTTAGTTTCTTGGGGGGAAGGAAAGAAATTCCTGGCACTTTCAACTAAAAGGATCAGACAAAAAAAAATATGATACCATAAATTCTACTTCCAATGTTGGGACAGAGTCAAGGCTCTCTCTCTCATCATGTGAAGGAGGCCCTATTACAAATTAAAGAGCAACTCCAAATTTAGTGAAAGGGTTTAGGGGTGGTTGTCCTTTGGTGGCAGGACACATGGCAGGTGAGGTGATTACCACAATGTACTCTAGGTATCTAAACCTGTGGCCTAGCTATTGTTCTCCAAGTGTCTGAGGAGCTCAACTGACATCCATGAAAGTTCTCCACCAAAATACATCCAATGGTCTTTCAGGTGTTGCAATACTTTTCTTTTGTTACAGAGGGCAATCAGATTATAGAAAAGACCTCTGCCCAAAACCCTAAAAAAGCTGCTAACAGTCCAAACTCACAGTACTTGGCCAAATCGAATAGGACAGCTTTATATGTGATTCCTATTGAAACAATAACATGTGCCAATATGGGTACTGCAAGATACATGGTGCAGTGTAACCTAGCTGTGCAGTAAGAATGTCATGTCCTACAAGAGCTGTTTACAAAACATCTGGAGAAGGTGATCAGAAGGGAGGAAAATGTAGCACACACTGTAGGGTCTTATAGCTAACAAGTTTTATTTTAGCAAAAGCTTTGACAAACTGCAGCCTACTTTATCAGGTAATGTGGGCAGATTTCATGGGCTGCTGTCCACAAAAGCTTATGTCAAATGAAACTTGTATTTCCCAAGACTCTCTGTTGTTTTTGCTGTAATAAACTAACATGGAATGCCCTTGAAAATTGTTATGATCATAATCTGCTTATTTCTACAAGGATATGATACTGGACTAGGCAGATTATATAACAATCAGAAGCTGAGAAATATGGGAACAGAGGACCATGAAGAACCTTTGGCATCCTTACACTACAGCCTGTTTGAAGAAATAAATCTGATAAAAATTAGTTTGGTAAATGCTGTAAATTGTATAGAAAAATCAAGTGAAGTGCGTATTACTGAATTTAGTATCTAGGTCAGTAATACGGAAGCTTTGACCAATCAGATATTGTTGATTTCTCCTCCCACCATCCGTGCCCGGCACAGCCAAGAGATTGGCCATGCATAAGCAACTGTGACATCCAAAGGATTCAGAAGGCCAAACAGTCCTTGTTACTAGTCTAGACATAAAGGTATTAATTAACTTCAACAAAAATCCAGAACCTCGGTGAAGTATCCTTACTAGATGAACCGCATGATCTATTTCTTCAGTAGTTACTCCTGGCTTCACCATCATGGCAGCAACATCTAAAACTTCTCTAGCAAGCTGCAAGACATGAGAACAGAAATGACTCATTAAAACAGACAGTTGCCAAACCATACTTGTAATTGCATGATTCATGTTCTTCATCCAGATTGTTAAACAAGCATGCAAGGACATTCTCTTTCTCTCTAACACATTTTGAGTTACAAACAGTTTGCAGTATTAGCTTACCCTACACACTACTCGCATCCCTTCTATATCTTCTGTAGAAAGGATTTTTATCTGAGAAGTTCCTTTCAGAGCCTGTTCTGATTCAGACATACCTAAATAAAAACAATGAGAACTGTTATTTATTTTAAAATAAAGTTTTATTTAAAACTTTATTTTAAAAAATATTTACAAGTAGCATAACTTATGCCTATGTAAGAATGATGATGCCATGGGCAAGAGGAATTTTTAGTAACTTAAAATCTCCTACTTCTGTCCTACAGCTTCTCTGATTCCCAAGTAATCTCTTTAAATACATGGAAGCCATGGGATACAAGGAGGATGTCTTTAATTACTGAAAATCTCCTCTTGCAAGTAATGTCACCTTGCAAATAAAAGACAAGAGAAATAAAAAAGAAGGATCTAAAGCAAATAGAAAAAAACCTATCTGCCACAGCATCATTCACATTTGAACAAAAATGAAAGAAAAGTGAGGTCAGAGGGTACAATAGGTTAATCAACAGAACAAACTGCACTGGAAAAATAAAGAGAAATGTTCTTCTCTTTTGTGATTACACACTTCCCATATTTTCTTCCCTGTGCGAAAAAAGGGGAGGCAATCCAAGAGACTCTTTGATTTACCTAGCGCATTTTGCTTATATTTAGAAATACTGGTTATTTATTTTTTTAAAAAAATTAGATATAAAGTAGATATATAGATATAGATAGAGGGATACATATTATATATATATACTTGTGAATTCTTCTTCTGGAGCAAAACATGTGCAGAATTCTCTGGTGAGACTCTGTGGACAAAACATGATGGACTACCACCCTCCCCAGAAACTTTTGTAACAGTGAATAGAGCAAAGATAGACACTCTGAGTACCTTCAAGTGCTTTGAACTAAAACTCCCATCATCCATCACAACTGTCCTTGTGGACAAAAGCTTGCACCAGGATGGCCACCTATGTAACAGGCAATACAGCTAATGCCAGATTTCTAGGTTCAAATTTAGAAATGTCTCTGTGGGATTCTTTCAAATAAATCTTTCTTTCAACTGGTCACCCAAAAGCTGTCCGACACAGGAGTATTTAAATGAGTCCAGGCACAATGAATCCATCACTAAACATAACATCTCATAGAGCATGAAATTAAACACAAGCTTAACAATTGAAAACTGTATTAAAGATATTATAGCTATAATTTACCTAGAGGATGATCAGCATAATCTGGCCTTTGAATATAACTCGGCACAGGCCTTGTTGGCATCTAAATAAAGCACAGATTTATTTACTGGAACTTGTTCATATGTCTATCATATCTACCCTGAAAGTACCTAACAGTTGTTTAAATATAAAATTGATACACTCAATCCAAATTAGATATTTTCTTTAAAAATCCAGAGTCCTCAACTGAAACCTGAGGTTCCTAGGCTAAGATCAACAACTCAGAGCAAGGCTGCTGCTTCCTATATACCATTGCTCCCTCTAAGCTGCATAGGTGTGCACGCACTTGCCCAGAACTTCATCGGGGTTGCACACAGGCTGGTTTACTTCCCATTTTGAATGAAGCCCAGAACACATGGCACAGCAGGACAGACACTTAGAGGGAATGTTATCAAGAAAATTCTTTCACCACAGATCTGTGAAACTACTTCCCCAGTCTGGTTCCATTTCTCATTCTTTAATAGCCACGCAAGATATATATACCAAATCCTATTCCACACTTCAAGATCTCAACAGCAAAGGTTTGATATATTTTGCAATGTCTGACTTGTTAATATCGAACCCCTCTGCTGTTTAGCAATAATAAGCAATAATATTTCCATAATGAAAAATACCATGAGATCAAGCCTATTAAAATACAGTGATGCCCCGCAAAACAATGTTAATCCGTTCCATTGAAATCGCTGTCTTGTGAAAACATCATCTTGCAAAAAGCGTTTCCCCATTGGAATGCATTGAAATCCGTTTAATGCGTTCCAATGGAGAAAAATTGTCGTCGTTTTGCAAAGATCGCCAATAGGGAAGCCATTTTGCAAAGCTGCCGATCAGCTGTTAAAATCGTTGTCTTGCGAAGCATCGGTGCCAGGGGAAAAAAACACCCGTGTTGCGAAGCATGGACTGAAACATCGTCCAGCGAAAAACATCCATAGGAAACACTGTTTTGTGAAGCGCAATGGCGATCGCAAAATCTCATCGTCATGCAGATTCGTCGTTTTATGAGGTCATCATCTAGCGGGGCACCACTGTACTGAATACTGAGATAAATTAAACTTGACTATCAAATTCCTCTAACTTTTTCTACTTTCACACAATTAATTGATACTCTTCTAATACAATCTTGTAATTTATAATGGCTACTAGAAATTGTATGCTGTGTACTGTTCCCAGAATAAGAAATAATCAGAATATTCTTCTGATCAAGTCTTGCACAACCCCTTTCTCCAACTAGGAACCACAATCAGCAAGAATTTTGGCTTCTAGAAAAACTTGAAAAGAGTTAAAAAGAGATCTGCAATTTCAACACTTACCAATGGATAATGTGGCCTGAGTTTACCAGTATATCGATAGCCAGACCAGGGATCTGTGTTAATATCACCATCTACAGTCCAAGCAGAAACCACTTGCTTAGCTTTCTCATCTTCTACAAAGGGAAGAAAAATTACAAAATAATGCAATTGTGATAGCCAACTACTTGAATCAAAAAGTAGAAGACTGTCTACATTTGTTTAAAGATTTGACTTTTCCTCCTCTTCTGTAGGCAGCTTACACAGCTCCATACTTAATTTTGTCTCACAATCCATGTCTGGTCTGCTTTACATTAATTTTTTCTCGAAAGGCTGTTACTGAAATTGGAGAAATATGCAGCCTAACCTTGAGACTGGAGCAGAACAAAAGAAAAGACCAAATCTTTCACAGCCACACCTGTCTCCAGTATTATCACTGGGATAGATTTGTACTCCAACTTGACAAAGCAAGCTTCAGATTCATATGACTCCCAAATCCACTACAGAAAATCTACAGAACACTCCTGAAGATTCATTAGCAATTTGAATTTGAAGCAGTGTCTCAGAAAAACAGCATGTTTTTTCTACAGGTTCTCCACACAAGGAAAATATCCAGCTGGGAGAAGGGGGGAAGAAAGGAAGGCATATAGTTTTTTGATTGGCAGCTCTAGTTTCAAGTCACAGGGAATAAGTTTATTAGAGTTTATTAGACACTCGAAGACTGTAGTGTACAGAGATATCATTATGCACAAAACTTAGAAACCTAGATAGAAGTTTTCAGAAGAAGGGACTAATGCAATGAACCTATATCCAGCCTTTAACATTTTAGATATGGATTTGCATGACTCAAAGAATGATTCTCAAGAAGAAGGAGGAGAAGAATCCTTGTATATAGAACAGGAGGATGCTAAAGACAAAGCTAGGCTATAGCATTGTCTTGATTTCATTTGGAAGAAAACGTTTTTGTTTAGATAAAAATTATGTCATTACATAAGTTTATACCAACAGTCTAAAGTGGTTTAGCCCAAACCCAAATTTACACCTTGGTGGAAATTAGTACAGATTTGCTAACATCAACTGACTATTATAATAACAGCCTTCCTCACAATGGCATGAAGTTGTTCTCAACACAATTTGACAGCAAGTCAAGAACAAAATGTGATAAAGTAAAAAAGAAATGCCTGCTTACTTGCTTTCTTGTGTAGCAGCTTGTGAGTAGCCCAACTTCCCTTAAAACATTCCTAAAAGAAAAATGATATAAAGTTAACAAGGCTTTGAAATATATTAACCTCATACAGATAAAATAGTTCAGTAGGCTGCAATACATTCCACGCAAAAAGTGTCAAGAAGTATGCAATACAGTTTCATTGTGAACAGAAGCCCACCAGAAACCCTAAAACCATCTGATGACTGTACAGGCCTATTATACTACTTTTCAAAGGATCTTTAATTTTAATATCAGTTCTGCAGTCATAGTTCTATTTCATATTTTATGTAGCAATGGTGTTTCATTTGGCTACATTGACATTTATAGGAAACATATGAAGTGCAGTCAAATACAGTTTTAAACCTTCTAGTACAGTGGTCCCAGCCTTTTTGACTCCGCAGACCAGTTGGGGGGGATGGGGTCCATGCGTGGGAGGGGGGCATCCCCACACTCGCACACATGCGTGAAGGGGCAGCGTGCACTTGCGGCATGCGTGGAGCACTCACGCAGTGCATGCACAAAGGGCGGGGGCGCTCGTGTAGCGCGCGCGCGCGCAAAGCAAAGCAAAGCGTGCTGCTTATATGCCGCCCCATAGTGCTTCAAGCACTCTCTGGGTGGTTTGCAAGTTAATTATGCAGGCTACATATTGCCCCCCCCCCCAGCAAGCTGGGTATTCATTTTACCGACCTCGGAAGGATAGAAGGCTGAGTCAATCTTGAGCCAGCTACCTGGGGTTGAACCCCAGGTCGTGAGTACAGTTTTGGCTGCAGTACAGCGGTTTAACCACTGCGCCACGAGAGCTGTGTGGGAGGGCATGCGGGGGGGGAAGGCGTGCGGGAGATCTGTCTACACGGCCCGGTCCGGCCAAGGCCACAGACTGGCACCAGGCCACAGATCGGGAGTTGGGGATCCCTGTTCTAGTATATATGTGCAGTGGAAGCACAGGGTGGTAAAGTAAAATACTTCTATGACAGAAGAACACAAGTAAACATTCATACTTCATTTTCTTCCTCATTATTTGTTCATGTTTTCCATTATTCTATTTTTTTTCTATTCTAAATAGTAAGAAGAATCAGTAACAGAGTCCAACAGAGGAATAGATCGCCTTGGTCTCTCTTTCAACAGAGATTTTAAACCAGAGATTGGATGGTTGTATGCCACAGATGCTTTAGATGTGGGTTACTCCAGTGGCAGAGGGTTTAACTAGACAACTTTTGGGGTACCTTGTGTGATTATTGTGCTCCTTGAGCACAACACATATTTAATAACATTTTGATACAGCATTAAACAAAATGTAGAAAAATGCATAGAGTTCCTATTACTGTAATCTCCACAAATCCTTAATTCTCCTGGAAAATGACTAGTTGATTCACTTCCCATTCTCCTCTCTTGTTTCCAGATTCCACTAGAGACAGGCATTTTGTATTCGTATCTCGGGGATACAAATGACTCGCCGAACTGCAGGGGCCAATTCCCTCTCCCAGAACTGGCCGGGCAACTCACCAGGCCCCCATGTGATACTCGGGGTCCTGCGGTGGCGCACCAATCCCAGCAGGAGCCTGATCAACCCTTCCCTGCCTGCCCATGCAGCCAACCACTCAACGACTGAGTGGGGAGACTCCCTGTCCTGCCTCCACACCAAGGTGCCGCAAGTCCTTCCTGTATCCCCAAGATATGAATATGAAGTAACCATCTCTAGATTCCACCAAAGAACAAATAAGGCCAAATTTACTAGCAATACCAATTTAGCAGTTAAATTTATTATACTTCTACTGTACAGTCTATGTACTTATGTTCTTCCTCTAAATATGCCATCAGATTTCATATGAATATTCTCCCAGTATGATGAATATTTCATCACCACATATTATTTTACTTTTCTGTTCTCACAAGCAATGTAACAGGATTTCCAGCACTGGAGAATATTCTTTGTTCACTATCCACTGATGTTATTCCTGTTAACAGCAAAACATGGATTTCACAACTGAATGTGAGATGGACCATCTCTCTTCTCCTGTTTAGTAGAGTTCATCTGAACATTAATTTCACATTGCAGTTCTTGAAATGAAATGGAAATATAGCCTAACCCCTTTCCTTAGCATGATAGCATCAATGATCCACTTGGGCAGAAATGTTGCCTTGCAGCAGAAAGACCATAGCAAAGAGGCCATCCCACCTGCCCTTAGCAGGGATTTACAGAAGCAGCCACCAGGAAAGCCTTTCCTTACCAATTGAGCCTCTGGTGGTGGGATGAAGGACTTTTCTTGTAGGCCAGTGGAGATAATGGCATTTCAGTCAAACTATTTAAAATCTCAGCAGTGGCCAGAGGATTGGAAAAGATCAGTCTACATACCAATCCCAAAGAAGGGCAGTACCAAAGAATGCTCCAACTACCGTACAACTGCACTCATTTCACACGCTAGCAAGGTAGTGCTCAAAATCCTCCAAGGTAGGCTTCAGCAGTATGTGGACCGAGAACTCCCAGAAGTACAAGCTGGATTTCAAAGGGGCAGAGAAACTAGAGATCAAATTGCTAACATGCACTGGATTATGGAGAAAGCCAGAGAGTTCCAGAAAAACATATACAGTGGTGCCCCGCAGAGCGAGGGTTAATCCGTTCCGGATTAACCCTCGCTATGCGGAATCGTCGCTAAACG